AAAAAAAATCACTCTAGGTGCAGTATAAGGATAGAACAGTAATGAGGGCGAAATACACAAGGATCATGGGATGAGTGTGTGTATTTGTTGGGGGAAGTACTGAAAAACAGGACATGGACTATGATGCCTGCCAGGTTTCTTCCTTGGGCTTTATTCATCCCAAGGAGAGGAAACAGAAGGAGTAGCTGACTGGAGAAGAGAAGTGATGAATTCAATTTTGATTTTGCTGAGTTTATTTTCAATCAGCCAAGCAGAGTATGTAAAATGATAATACAAGAAGGAAACACAGGAATTTCTGGACAAGGGAAGAATATAGTGTTCTGCTGGATTCTGTATGCATACTCTTTATATAGCATTTCAACACATGAATGAATATTAAAATATCGGTTACTTGCATATCATGGCACAGGAATTTTTGAACTCAGAGACAAGAGTAAATATACTAAAATAGCTGAATCAAATGAATTACATTTCCATTATGCATTAAAGTGAAAAGGAACTGAGTTACTCTCCATGTGTGTCAGGTTCTACATTGGTGTTCAGAAGTATTTTTCTGCTTAATCTTCATGATAGACCTCAAAAGTTAAGTTTTATTATCTATAATTTCTAAACAGAGAAGTTAAGTAATTTGCCAAATGAAACAAAGGCAATGAGTAACTTATTGGGCTAGAATTTGAATCTAGCTGTGTTTAACTTCTAAGCCTACATCTTTCCATTATCTCAAGCAGCCTGTGGAGAGTTGGGGAGAGCAGACCATAAAACCTTCTTAAAAATGCAGGCTCTGTATTATTGCTTATTTAGACGTTTTGTAGGGTTAAACATATGCGTTTAGATTTGTAAGCATTCAGTTCCCTACAGGCAAATTTTAAAGGTTCTGTTTAGGTCACTTGTCTCATCTCTACAGGATGGCATGCCAGTTTGGCATCAATTGATCATTCATGGCTTTCCATTCTCTGGATGCATCTGTCATGTCTGGTTAGGAAGGGGTTAACTTTCTTACACTAATTGCTAAGTAGTCCCCTTCTTTTTATTTTCCAGTTAACAGGTCAGGTCGTTGCTGTTGTTTTCAAGTATACAGGCTATACAGATTCTTCAACAAGCATCTTTCTGCTCAACTAAGACAAACAGATGAACAGCAGGTATCTTCAGTTCTGTGATCCCAAACTTACATGATGCGTTAGCTACGACTTCATTAATTACTAACTTGGGATTCCCTAAGCCTCTACACCAGTAAACAAGTAAACAAACCAAAAATACCTTTCCATCTCTACAGAAAATCCTGTGCATTATAAGGTTTGTTTTTCTGCTTCTCTGGTGACTTTCTATATACTCCATTTTTTAGTTCATGTCTTTTCTTTGAGGTATTCTATTTCAAAATTTTAAGGTTAACACATCATGCCTAAGATCTCTAGGGCCTGAAAGTTGACTCAATTTAAGACTATACATCACAGTCCACTTACTTTACAAACCAAGAAGAGTCCAACTAGATCTTGAAAAGGTAATTTTCAGGTAGAAATTGGGCTTCTCTCCTTAGTCAACATAGATGAAGCTTCACTGTTTCCAAACACTCTTATTATTGTTGTTGTTATTATTATTACTCAGTAATCTAGATTTAATTTTGAAAGGCATTTCAACAGAAACTCTCCACATTACATCCCATATCCATCAAAATGCAGGCGTAGACCTGAGTAGTATATCCCCTATAAATACTAAAAAGGTGGGTGGGGGCTGGATTTGAGGATATTTATGTGATCTGATGCTCTCTCTGTTGGGTCAGTTCATTTTGATCCTTCACCTTTCTAAAGCATCCAGACCTGAGGTGTGGATTTAACTTCTCACCATTCACGCCATCTAGTGGTTATAAATGTTAGATGCTTGGTTTTAAGGAAGATTCCTAATGACTTGGGGGCGGGGTACCCGAAAAACAGAACCGTTGAAAGCGACAATTTCCTAGTCTCCCACATTACTTACCCCTCACAGGGACCCCTTTACTTTAATCATTTTAGGTGTGCGCATGGATGCGCAGAGAAAATGAACGGGAAGGCACACTCACGGAGACGCACGCCCCTCGACGCTGACATTTAGAAAAGGGTTCTAAATCCTTCCTGTCATTTGCAAAGGACAGGAAAAGGAGTTGTGGCAAGACCCCGACCAAGGAGGCTGTCTGACTTTTCAGCAAGTGGGACAGATGACATATTAACTCTTGCAACGTTAACATCTGGTTCGAACAAACCGAAAGACCGAGAAAGAGGAAAAAGCGCTTAAAAATTCCGCCGCGGGGCTTTGCAGGTCTTGCTACCCAAGAGCCCTCAGAAGACAGCCAATTCCTGCGTTTTCCGCTCTGCTCACCCTCCTACCCAGCTTCTCTCTCTCTTTTTCCTTCCCTCCCGCCGCCCCGCCGCCCCCCCC